CGTAAAATTTTTTAAAAGTTTCTCACAAAAATATCATAAGTATTTATTGTTGGTTTATTATTAATTACTTTTTAATTAATTATGGCAATTACATTATCTGAAATAAAAAAAAATGTTGAAAGAAATGTTTATTGAATTCAAGAAAGAAATGCAAAATCAAACTGAAGCGTTACTTAAACAACAAGAAAAAAATGTGTTAGATATTATTAGTGGAAAAACAAAGATAATCAGCGACCGACTTGATCGATTTGAAAACCTTCTAAATGTTAACATAGGTAAAATAAAAATTCTTGAAAATGATGTTGCTAAAAATTTAAATTTTCAAGAAAATCTTATCGACCAAAAAGTTGAGGCTTGTCACAAAAGTTTTGAAAAAAAAAATAGATTGTTTAAAACTTTTAAAAAACCAACAAAGAAATATTGAAGATCGTACTAGAAGAAATAACCTAAGGATAGACGGGCTACCTGAAAGTCTTTATGAAACTTGGCCACAAACGGAAGAAAAAGTTCAATTATTTCTAGCGCAAAAACTAGGCTTATCTGGAATCGAAATAGAGCGTGCGCTTCGTACTGGATTTAGAAAAGATGATCGAATAAGAACAATTGTTATGAAATTGCAAAGTTACAAGGATAAAATGAAAAAACTAAAACAAACAAACAGACTCAAAGGATTAAATATTTATATTAATGAAGATTTCTCTAAAGAAACAGTTGATATCAGAAAAAAATTATTTGCACAAGTTAAAGAAAGACGCTGAAAGGGAGAAAACCTTGGAGTGAGGTATGACAAAACTATTAATTTAAAAAATGCGGGAAAATACTTAAACAGCGTTCGCAATATATATATATATATATATATATTTTTTTTTTTTTCCCTTAAACGTTCGAATATCTTACTTTCTATAAAACTTTTTATGTGGAGTTTTTTAAAAAAAAATTATAATAATATTTTTTAAATGGCGGTAACTAATAATATAAACAGTTTAAATATTTCTTTAAGCGATAACTCACAACATTCTACTAACAACATTATTTCTGACACAAACTTCTTCGACAATATTTGCATCGAAACAAATTATTTCAATGTCCACGAAGTTGCAAGTTTTTTTAAGACGTCATCATTTAACATGTCATTGCTAAGTATTAACATTAGAAGCATAAACAAAAACTTTGATAACTTAAAACTGATGCTAAATAACATAAGTTTTAAATTTAGTGTCATCTGCCTTACTGAAACTTGGTGTCAAAAAAAAGATATATTTAATTCTAATTTTCAATTATCAGATTATAATTCTATTCACCAACCAAGGGAAAATGGTATTGGTGGTGGCATATGCATATTTATACACAATTCCTTTACGTACAAAATAATCGATAACTTAAAAGTTAACGACTCACATTGCGAATCGTTATCAATAGAGATAGTTAATCTCAAAGAAAAAAATGCGTTTGTAACAGGTGTAAATCGACCACCAAACGGCAATTATAAACAATTTGAAAACCACTTAAAAAAAAATATTTATTCAAACTGGAAAAAAAAATATTTACTTACTTGGAGATTTTAATTTAAATCTAACGAATTTTAACAAAGATAATAACGTTAAAAGCTTTATAAATACCCTTTCTCAATTTAATGTTTTTTCCGCGACCAACAAACCAACACGTGTTACTCATAAAACATCATCTGTCATAGATGATATTATTACTAATAACTTCAGAAACTCAAAATTAAAGAGTGGTATCATAAAAACAGATATTAGTGACCATTTCCCTATTTTTTTTAACAATAAATGCTGTAAGCTGTATAAAAAAAAACCCTTAACAGCATATATAAGGCAAGTTAACGATGACTCAATTTTGCATTTTCGAAAACTTTTGCAAGAAATCAACTGGGAACTGTTGAAAGATTGTAATGATGCATGTGAAGCATATGATTTTTTTATCCGTGTATTTACTAAACAATATAACAAAGCTTTCCCTAAAATTAAAAAAACTATAAAATCTAAAAATGTGCATAACCCCTGGATGACGAAAGGACTTTTAAAATCATCAAAGAAAAAAACAAAAACTCTACGAAAAATTTTTAAATAAACCAACCTTTAATAACGAAACGAAATATAAAAATTACAAGAAATATTTCGAAAAATTAAAAAAGCAATCAAAAAAATATATATATTCGAGTTTACTGTATAAAGCGTTAGGAAATCCTAAAAAGACTTGGGCTATAATAAATTAAATAATTGGTAAAAAAAAAAACTAAATTTAACAACATTCCCAAACGACGTCAAACAGAGGATAATGTTGAGATTTTTGATAAGAAAAAAATTGCTGGGAAACTTCTAGCCAGTGAAATCTCTCCAAGTAACAAATCATTTAAGTTTTTTTTGAAAAAATCTGTTTCTGTTATGGAAGATTCAGAACTTTCAATTATTGAGCTTCGTTTAGCTTTTAACACACTTCAAACGAATAAAAGCGCTGGTCTTGATGATGTTAGTTCAAATGTTGTGAAAGCAGTCTATGATATTATAGAGTCACCACTTTTCGTTATATTTAATTTTTCTTTAAAAAAAGGAGTCTTTCCTGATCAATTAAAATTTGCGAAAATAATTCCAATTCATAAAAATGGCGATGATTCAATAGAAAGTTTTTCAAAGCGTGTAATGTACAATAGATTATACAATTATCTTGAAAAAAATAATATTTTATACTATAAACAATTTTGATTTAGAAAAAACCATTGCACTGCATGCGAGCATGCGATAGTTGATTTGACTAACACTATTTTGAAAGGCTTTGATGACAACAACTATACACTGGGAGTTTTTGTAGATCTAGGCCTTTGACACTGTAGATCATGAAATCCTTCTATATAAATTGCAAAACTACGGAATTTTGAATCAGAATTTAAAATGGCTTCAGTCTTATCTTCAGAATCGTAAACAATGTATTACGTATGACTTAACAAGTACACAATTAGAAAGTATTAGTTATGGTGTCCCCCAAGGCTCAATTCTTGGTCCTCTGCTATTTCTCATATATATAAATGATATCCATTTATCCTCCGAGTTACTAAATTTCATTCTTTTTGCGGATGATACCAATATTTTCATTTCTGGTAATAATTTAAAGTACATTTTTTCTACTGTTAACACTGAACTAGTAAATCTCAACGACTGGTTTAAAGCTAATAGACTCTCTTTAAATAATGATAAAACGAAATACATTTTGTTCACAAAACCCTCAAAAACTGACAACTTACCCCTTTAACTTCCAGATTTATTTATAAACAACATTAAAATAAAAAATGTTCATTCAATGAAAATTTTAGATATATTATTTGATGAACATTTAAATTGGAAAAATCATATTAAATTATTAGAAAACAAAATCTCTTTAACCTTGGGGATCATGTTCAAAATGAGGCACCTTTTGAATAATATGTGCCTCAAAAATTTATATTTTTCATTTATACATAGCTATATTAGTTAATTGTAATATAGCTATGTATAAATGTATGTTATTGACACTACTGCATTATTTGCATAATGCAGTAGTGTCAATAAACAGCCTGTCAGTAGCAATTTTAGTGCGGATGTGGGCGAGATTTGATTAAAGTATCCTTTATATTTATTTTATTTATTTTTACCCTTTATATTTATTAATATTTATAATATTAAATAATTTATAACAATAATGTTAAAAGTGTTATAGTTAAATACAGTGTAAAATATCGAAATAATATTAATAAAGTTATTTTAAAGTTAATAAGTATATTTAAATTATTTACATAAATCAAATTAATTTTCTAAAATCAAAAATTCAAAGCTACACTATCAAAAATGTAAATCCTCACTTTTCTAGCAACCTGTCGTGATTTAAGGACGGCGTCACCCCATTTATAAAATCACGTTTGAAAATTTTTTTAACTAAATTCAGTTTGAAAAAAATGTTAATTATTAGACCCGGTTTAATTATGTATCTAAATTTTTTTTTGTCCAATAAATATTTTTTTTCAAACAGTATAAAATATCAATTTTTTTCCACAGTTGTCATACCCGACCACACGGGTTTGGAAGTGGAGGGGCAGAATCGTCCATTTCTAAAAAAATTCCTCTTTATCTAGAATGTTTTGAACAAAAAAGAAAAAGAAAATCCTTTAGAAAAAAGTGTAGGAAATCACCCCTCCCCCCTCTCACCCATGTTGTTGTCTCTCTTTGTGTGCGCAATCTCAATCTCTGTACGATACTCAACGTAATAAGAATAATAATCTACTCGTCGCTATCAATCAAAAAATTCCCACGATGCGAAATATCTATTACCCAGTTTCAGATGAGCAGCCGTGGCGCAGTGGTATCTCACTTACTTCAGAAACGTAAGATACGTGGTTCAAACCCCACCTCTGGGCAAGTTTTGCGACATCGGTTGGGAAGGAGGCGTGAACTTCCTATTAAATGCTCCTCCGCGGTGCTCTGTGATAAGACCGTAAGGACTTCTTGGGGCACATTATTCAACTTAAAAAAAAAAAAAAAAAAAAAAATGACGACTAGAAAATAAACAAATAGAATATTGCATCATTGGCGAAATCATAAATGACACTTGCGACGATGGCGTCATAAGTGACGTTTTCAGTTGCATTAGTAATAAATATCTCGAGTTTGAAAAATGGAAGTAAAATATAGGAATGAAATAAACGACAATTGAATAAAAAGTCAAAAACAAGTTACTTAAATTTTATAAATTTTCATCTATTTGTTTTTAACTTACTTTTAATAAAATTTTAGAATACATAATTTACATAAAATATAATTTTCTGCTAATAAATGATTGATTATTATGGAAAATAAATTTTACAAAAGTCTTTATTAAATAAGTTAAAAAAAAAAAAACAAGTTAAGAAAAAAATTGTACACCATTAAAAAGATGGATTAAGTTTTTATTCTCTATAGTATTTTTTTTTTTTTTTTTTTTTTGAAAAATGACTACAAAATAAGGGTTTTGGATTTGTTTTTCATAAATCATCAGCAAAGCAAAATACTAAACAAAAAAAAAAACAACAACAACAAAAAAACGTTCAATCTACCGTTAATTAGCAAAAGAAAGTATGCTACAGTTTTTCCGTGAAATGGGTTATATGGGTTATGATAAGTTTCATTATAGGAAGTATGTACATTTTTAAATAAAATACTTCGCTTTATTTTTTTTGCGGAATATAACATTTAGAATAGAAACGAAATGATTTTAATTTATTTTTAACTTTTTGAAACCTTTTTTTACTTTAACCACAATTTTTTTAAACATACTTTCTTTTGCCAAATTACAGCAGTAATGTGAATGCTTACTCAAATCTGCGTATTAAAATAAATCTATATTTTTTTATTTGTGTTCTAGTTTATTAATTTATGTAAGTTTGTTAATTGTTATTTTTAATTTATGTAACTCATTGATTATTATTTACAATTCATCTAGGTTATTATTTACGTGAGTCTTTTGATAACTTCAAGTTCTCCAATGAACTTTGTTAAAATAAATGATATTTTGGTTTTCATTTTATAGTGACTAGCGTTGCTCTTTGCAATGAATAATTATTTCAACCGTAACTAAATAACCAATGAACCAAACAGAATAACAGACTATTAACCGTTTTGTTCTCCTAAATGTACAAAATAAATGAGATGAGGTTTAGGAACTTGGTCGGTATAAAATGCATTTTGTTTAATTTTAAAATGGTAACCAATAGTTTTTCGCTTTTGCATTATTTGATTTTAGATTTTTATTTAAAAGAAAATATTTTAGAGGTTTAATTTTGCCATGGGGATTTGTTCATTCCCTCAGGGGAGTATGTCCTTTCGGTTTCTTCTAACCAGTAATCGTCTTGTTCTTTTATGTCAATAAGTACATTTCGTTCTAATATAATGTATATAACAACTATCAGCGTTACAACAATTAAAAAAATTGACGTTAAAGGAATATTTAGGGTGACTATTGGAACTAAAAATCCGGCCGGTACAAATGCTGCCTCAAAAACCGAAAGTCGCACAGCCTCAGTTAAAGATTGAATCTCAGTAGGCACCAGTTTTGCAAACATTGATCTAGTCGATGTTATAATTAGTGGTACTCCAGAGATAGAGAGACACGTGATTAAAAATAAAAAACCAGTTGTCACATTACTATCTGTACTTACCAAATCTAATACAGATAATATTAATAAAGCCAACATGGTAAGAAAAGCTCCATACACCAAAAGTAAAAAGTCATTTAAGTGATCTGCTAAAAAAAACACAGAACCGGATACTAGTACTGACAAAAACTTATTTACCATGCTTAGAAACGCTAGTTCTACTTTTCCCCATTTCAAATAGTTAGTAGCAAGTACAGGTAAGCAAGTGACAATAATGCAGTAAACAAATGCCTCTATAAATGTAATCAGCATTAGTAAAACTGTTGGTCTGTACCGCAATATTTTCCAGACGGACTTTGCTGACTTTTTTACGGTACTGTTTAGACGATCTCGAACACTATCAACTTCTGGTGTATCTATTTTTTCCTGGCTTGTGCTCACAAACTTTGGAAAATTAAAAGGTTGGTTTACTTTTATTTCGTTTATATCATCAAGCTTCGTAGCATTCTTTTGATCAATGACATAAAATGTCTCATCATTCTCAAAACTTGCACACGGTTCTTCAAATGATTTTTTAGAACTTGATTTAGCACATTTGTTTAATTTTTCATTAATTGAGATTATATGAGGAAGATTTTTTCCAGATCGCTCAGGAGATTGCACAGTAGAACTGTAAAAAAAAATTATTTAGTTATTTGCACACAAAAATTACTCTGAAAAACGAAAATGGACAATCAAAAACAAAAATAGACAAACACAGACAATCAAAAACAAAAAAAAAACAATCAAAAATTATAGTAGTAAAATCAAGAACTAAATAAAGAACAAGAGTAAAAAAATAAATAAAAAACGGATAAAGAAGCAAACCATTAAAAAGAACCTTACCTACTGAGAGAGACATATGAGGATCTTCTCATCCTTTGCTCTAGTTTGTAATCAAATTCTTTAGAAATATCGCTTACAAGTAGAGGTGCTAACAGCCCAGATATAATAAATAGTATACACATCATAATTCCAGGCATATTTGCAAAATTAATGTGCCACTCTCCCAAATTAAAGTCTACATAAAGAAAAGAAAATACAAGTCCAATACTAGTAAAAGTGCCTACACTATATATAAGAGATAACGCTGATACTTTTTTAGTTAATTTTGATGGAGAATAACACCTGGATATTTCTCCCATTGCAATTACTCCAAAAGCTGGAGTTGTTCCCGCCAAAAGCTGGCCAATAAGCGGAAGCGCAGGAGAAAACGGAAGTGCGTATAGAAGATTTCCAACAAAACCTAATATATTGACCACAAATATTGCTTGTCTAATGTTTCGAGTTTGATCTAAGTATGGGCTGATTAAAAGTGGAAACAAAACACCCGTAATACCAATAAATGATACAGACATGCCATATAATAAATCTGGGTTAGAAGCACGCATTACATCCTTAAAATAAAGATATTGTGACGAGTATCGTATCGAATGAACCATTCCATGAATATAATGGGTAATGCACCAATAAATAAAAAGTCGTTGTCTTTTTTCGCGCCAAATAAATAGATCAATTGGTCCACGATCTTCTATCAGATCCTCCATATTGTAATTTATAGCAAGACTGTAATTTTTCCTAAAATGAAAAGTAAAAAGAAAATCAAATTACTTAATATATATGTGTGTGTGTGTGTGTGTGTGTGTGTGTGTGTGTGTGTGTGTGTATTATTTCGATTTCTTTTAGACTTTTCATATATAAATATTACTATAAAAGAATCAATAAATATGATAAATAAAAATAAAAAAATTAATAATAAATACACAAAACAAAATTAATAAAAAAATAGTTTTATGCTGTTTTACTATTTGTCATTAATCTTATAATGCTATTACATCATAAAATATCATAATCGTTGTTCAATAATTTAAAAAGACTACATATTAGGTGATTTTTGATTAAAAGATTTTCAAATCCTAATATAAGTAAATGAAAAGGAGACAATTTTGAACTATAAAAATTAAATATTCAAAAGTCTATTTTTCAAACAAATAAAGATGTAAAAAATAAGATGAAGTTTACAATTTAGTTATCAAATCCCCCTTCCTACCTTACAAAAATAGACTAAGTGAATATTTCTTTAATAAAAAAATATTTAAAACGTCTTAGAAGTTAAAATAATGAATAAACACACACACACACACACACACACAAACACACACACACACACACACACACACACACACACACACACACACACACACACACACACACACACACATATATATATATATATATATATATATATATATATATATATATATATATATATATATGCACACACAATAATAATAATTATAATAATAATAATAATAATAATAATGATATAATGATAGTTAAAGCAACGTTGTTTTTATGTTTTTAAGTTTTATATTTGCTTTAAAAAGTCTATATTTGTTTCATTAATTATTAAATTAAGTATGATAGTGTCACATGGTATATATATATATATATATATATATATATATATATATATATATATATATATATATATATATGCTTATTAATTTATTTATGGGGAGTCTAGGATTTATTTTATAAGTACTTTTATAATTAAATTTAATTAATAAATTTGATAAATACTTACTGCGCATAACGGCAAAAGTTCCTTTTTTTTTATTACTCTAAATAAGTTTTCATAATGTTATAAATGCTCGATTTTTTTATATCAATTTGGTACATCAATAAAAATTCCACAGAAAAAAGTTGCGATATTACGCGTACGAGTTATTAGACATCTAATGACATTTAATCAAACAAATTAATGAAAATGTCATAGTAAAGAAATATTGCTCTTTTATGTGAACAAAAAGACTTGTGATACATGCTTAATGTCTTGTGTATTTAAATTAAATGAGTTTTTAAACAAGATTAAATTTATTTATCGTTTTTGATATTATCTCAAATTTGTCAGATAAATGTTTACAAAGTTCCGATAGCAAGTAATAAGTACAAAAAAAAGTTGAAAAGAAAGCTTGCCTTAAATATCACCCCACCCACTCACTATTTAATTAAGACAATTTTTTAACTGAAAAAACTTATTTAGTTAAGCTTTTTTTGTTTAGCAATTTTTTGTTATCCAATCAAGTAAATTATAGACCCAAAAAGTACATCTGAATTTTAACTAAAAATATACATTTCTCTTTGTCTCCAAGTCAAAAATCAATTCCTAAAAGTAAATTCATGGTTAAGAAAGCAAATGTATATTCTCAGCCGATACGAACGTTGACTTATTATTGATGAATAATAAGATTTTTTTCTTTCTTGGACATTAAGCAAAATATAAATTATTTATTTGCTTAATCTTAGAAATCTCTTGTTAAATTAAATTTAACAGTTTTTAACAGACGTATAGACTACATTTGAAAATTTGACGGGGCTTTTTGACGACATTTATCATGAGAGCATTTAAACATAAAAAATATAAGCCTTGTTTTATTTTTTGTTATTTTACTATGAGTAATTGGGAATTATAGTTCTTAGTTATTTAAGTTCTTAGTTATTTAAGTCAGCTTATAGCAAATAGTAGTTCAGCTTAGAATAAATAGACAGCTTACGATAGATAGTAGTAGTCTTAGTTATTTATGACAACTATAATAATTGTGGAGAAAAAAAAAACTATCAAGGTTTTGCACTGAGACTCATGTCTCAAAGTAGAAACCCTATTTTGCACTGAGACTGAGTTTATTGAAACCCTAGGTTGATTAGTAAAAAAAATCTCAGATTACTTCAGAGAAAGTCTTAACTATGGCTGGTTAAAGTAGACCAACAAGGATTGCTTAGAACGTTGAAGGGTAAGAAAAAGATTTTATTGCTCTTTCAAAGTTTAACAATTAGACTTTTTCCTTTCAGATTTAAAAAATTCTATAAAAATATGTAACAATGACAACAGTGTACTTTAGCAATAAAAACTTGTTTTTAATTTTTTACTTTCTTTTTATTATAAGTTATTTGTTGTTTAATCAAAAAACCTTGCGGCGCTGAACAAGATTTAATAAAGTACCAAAGTATAAAATTTGCATTAGGTTTTTATTAAAAACAATTGGAAATACATTACTTATAAAAATCATTATTATAATAAAGTTAAAGAATCAAGTGAACAAGAATCAAGTAAATTATTAAAGCTTGCGCAGACGTTAACAAATTATTAAAACATGCGCAGACGTTAACAAATTATTACTGCTTGCGCAGACGTTAACAAACTCTCAACAAAATATAAGAGTAAAAAAATGAGTATTTACACCGTATTAAAAAATTTATTAGTTATTATTTGTTAAAAATTTTATTAGCCATTTCAAACATTTCAAACATAAAAAGAAAATAGTTATCAATCTAACATCAACTTATATCCTTTTTAATATAGATTATTCCCAAATCAAATAATAAATTGTTTTAACCTAGCATTTGAGAAAATCTATATAAATTCAAAAATTTATAATGGAAAGAGCAGTTACATGAGTAACACTGATGTAACTACCCTTTAATAAGTAAAAAATATTTACAAAATCAAAATAAAAAAAAGTCGATTTTTAGTTATTGCATTTTTTTTTTTCATTTTAAACGGAACACGTTTTTATCAATGTTACTGTATATATGAACGTTAAACGACGTGACGTCAGATTACGCAAGAAATATTCGTTTAATTGGGCAGATCGTGATTATTTTGTAACGATTAGTTTCGAAGAATATCGTTACACATTTTTTTTAATGCAATACTAATATTGTCGGGTAATTCCATCCTCAACGTAAATCCTATGGAATTTTCAACATTTGGTATTAATCACTGTTGCCGAAAAACAATCATTGTTGCCATAACCATGTTTTTTCATAACTTAAAGTTTACCGCAATAACGATCACACTTAATGCTATAACCCTGATGATCGCTAATGCGTGAAACTTTAAATTATATTATTAAATATATCTAGTAAAGCATTTAGTTTTTACTATAAAATTTACTTAACCTATTATCTAGCGCGCTGTATGAGCACTCTTACTGAAAATATTTAAATAATTTCTAACTTGTATATAATATATATATATATATATATATATATATATATATATATATATATATATATATATATATATATATATATATATATATATATATATATATATATATATATATATATATAATACATATAACAATGGTTCAATACTATTGATTGGGTGTACGTTTAACATTTTTGTTTGACTATTTATTTAATGTAAACCAGTAAAACCATGCAATCATTATTTAAATGAATAAAAAATTAGATATACTACGAGTGCCCGATATTTTTAGAGAAAGCAATAAATTAAAAAAAAAGTAAACAAATTTTTTTTGTTTTAATAATTCATGCTGTCTTCAGTCATCGTTCATTTTTTTTATCTCTATTACAGGACAGCATAACTAAGTTTATTTCTTCACGGTGTAATACTTTCAAAAAAAAATTTTATTTAATAATTTTATGTCAAATACAAGGTATCTATTTAAAATAAATGCATACGTCACAAAACTTGTTAATATAAACAAAAAACCATGTAACAAACAAGTACACTTGAAAAAGTAATGGTATACTAAATGAATATATATTAGGATTTAGTCTTACAAGCTGAATTTTTTTTATTTTTATTTTACTTTTGTCGTTATAAACGAATTACGAAATAATAATATAATCAAAGGACAAATTTTTTACTCAAATTTAAAACCTGAATTTCTATAACAAATTTAAGTTTAACCTGCCAAAAAATTTAGGTTTAATCTGCCAACAATTTAGGTTTAATCTACCCATAATTTAGATTTTTATAGTATGTTTTATTATTTACAAAAAAAAAACCATTATTATCAAAAGAATATGAACTTTCTACAAAAACTAAAAAAAAAAAAAAAAGAACAATAAACCGCTTTGATTTAATCTTAGAAATAAAGTATTTATGTATTTTTGGCAGGGTGTCAGGCAGGGTGTTAGATTTTATTTACAACCCGTTCCAACCCGCTGTGAGTAAAAGTAGATAATGTTATATTATTTGATTTTCTGCAACCAATACACACACGCTTGCGGTTAAAAAAGAATGCATTCTTGCAATTCAATATAGAATAATAAACTAATTTATTTTAAAATTATATAAAGTATTAAATTTGTATATGATTTTATAAAGTATATATATAAATATTATGTGTTTTATATATATAAAATAATACTATGCATAATAGCGAACACTTTTCTTTTTATATTAACTAAAATTTTTAAACGCATTTTTTTTTTCTAAAAAATATTTCTAAGTTTATATGTTTTTTTGGGCAAACTAATTCATAGCAGTTCTCATAAAACAGTTGGTTTTTTTCAAAATTATTTTTTA